CATGGCCCGCTCCTCCTCGCGCGCGGAAGTGCTTCGGGGAAGGAGGAGCGGCTCCCTCCGGCCCCTGGCGGCAAGAGGCCCCTCAGTCCGCCAGGCAGAACACCTTTCCCCACAGCCCCGGGGAGTAGATGCCGAGTGTTACCTCCATTGTGCAGTTGGAGAACTGAGGGCCCAAAAGCATAAACTCGGGCCCGTGGGCGTCCCACGGAAACAGTAGCGCCGGGTGTGCTCTTGACGCTCCCGCGGAGCTTGGTCTCATGTCCGTCCCGGGTTATTCCCCGAAACGTTTTCTTTCGCAAGCATTGGAAATAAAACATGCCTGCGTACAGGACGTACTTGGAAGTACTTAGGATGTGATTAATCGGAAATGTGACTATTAGCTATCTCTTTGTAAAATAAAGAAACGAATCCCTCGGTGCGTGAGAGAAATAAACTCATGTCCCAGGCACTCCCACTGTACGTTTTCATCTTTTTAAACAAAAATGAACATTACATGATAGTATTTGAGACGTGTTCCTCTAAGAAACCAGAGATGCTGTTTCATAAGGTTGAAGAACCAGGATTTTGGAGTGGTCCCTGTTTCTCCTGCGGTGGTGTTTAAATGGGTCTATACATGTGTTAATACAACTATACAACCTTGCCACCCCCCCCCCCAATGAGGTCAAATTTACTGTGATAATTTTTTCGTTTTTAATTATTTATTGTTGAAAGTAAAAGAAAAAAAAAGGAAACATTATTGCCCTACCTGGTTTGGCTCGGTGGGTAAAGCACCAGCCTGCGGACTGAAGGGTCCCAGGTTCGATTGCAGTCAAGGACACACACTGGGATTGTGGGCTCGATCCCCAATGGGGGGCATGCAGGAGGCAGCCCATCAGTGATTCTCTCTCATAATTGGTGTTTCTACCTCTCTCTCTCCCTCTCCCTTCCTCTCTAGAATCAATAAAAATATTTTTTTTAAAAAGCCTTATCAAAACAGTGACATGACTTTTATTGTGATTTTATTATAATAATATTACTTTAAATTAAAATATCAGATTCCCAGGACAAGAACACTAAAGAAAACGAACAAAGCCTTGAAGAAAACAAGATCCAGATGAAAGCAACTGACCACACTTAAATGTTTCTCCCAAGAAACTAGGATATGTTTACAAGCTAATATTTTACCTTAAATGTCAAAATTTAAGAATAATAAATATTCAAAATGACTATGTGCCAGACACAGTGTAAGGCGCAGTGAATAGGTCACAGACTTCGTTTTCAAGGAACTATAAAAGTCTAGGGCAGTGGTTCTCAACCTGTGGGTCCTGAACAATGAAAATACATCCTGCATATCAGATATTTACATGACGATTCATAACAGTAGCAAAATTACAGTTATGAAGTAGCAACAAAAATAATTTTATGGTTGGGGGGTCACCACAACATGAGGAACTGTATTAAAGGGTTGCGGCATTAGGAAGGTTGAGAACCACTGGTCTAGGGGGAGGTAGATGTCAATACACTGCCTGTGCCTACCTCTATCTATGGTGGTACTTACCCCATAATATTGTCAGGTACAGTGGGAACATCAAGGAGGTGATGGCCTCTCAGAAGACTTCCAAAATGATGTGTGAACTAGATCTTAGATCAGCCGTGGGCAAACTACGGCCCGCGGGCCGGATCTGGCCAGTTTAAAATGAATAAAACTAAAAAAAAAAAAAGACCGTACCCTTTTATGTAATGATGTTTACTTTGAATTTATATTAGTTCACACAAACACTCCATCCATGCTTTTGTTCCAACCCTCCGGTCCAGTTTAAGAACCCATTTTGGCCCTCGAGTCAAAAAGTTTGCCCACCCTTGTCTTAGATGTTGAAGTGGAGCTGGCCAGACCTTAGGAAGACCATGTAGAAAGGCATCGAGTTGTGAAGAGAGCTCCTCTTGGGTGAGCAGAGGGAACAGGCTGCCTGTTGACCCCACTTCCTTGAAGGATCTTCAATAGACACACCATCACTGGGACCCATTCACAAGATCAAAAAGGAAAGAAAAAAAAAAAGAATTGAATCTTGCAGCATAGAATGACCATATTTGTAGCTAAGATTTTAAAGGAAATCTTGTCAAATGCCTTCCAGAAATTCACATATTTCAACTATGGTATCCCAATAATAACATTTGGGGAAGTTGGTGAAGGATACATATACAGAAAATGTATCCTTTTTTCATTTCTTGGCAAGTTTTTAATATCTCTAAATTTATTTTAAAATTAAAAGTTAAAAAACAAAACAGTAAGTTTAGCTTGAGATGTCTAATTCTTATTAATACTTCTTCTATAAGTCACTCTTTTTTAAAAATTCAAAATGATGTATTTAAAAATAAATTCTAGAATTTGGACAGTTTTTTAAAAGATTCACAATATCCACCATATATTCCTTGACAGTAAAGACAAAAACCAAATAACAGTTGTAAAAGTTGTATGCTTTATGTTCCTAGCTAATTGTTTTTGCTCCATAGTTAAAAACCCTTCTATAATTTGCTATAACTCTTTGTAAACATCTGTACCCTTTGTCTTGAGGAAAATTATTCTCTCCAATAAATAAAAATATTGTTAATCTTTATTAGCATACTTGGGTGTATATTAATTACTTTATAAGCTTATTTAAAAGAAAAGTAGGATCTGATTTACAAAAATGTATTCAACAGAAAACTTTCAAGAACCTAACTTCTGTAAAGAATTATATTTTCCTTTTTTTTTCTTTTAAGAATGATATCTTAGTACATATTTCAAAGTGTGTATTAGTGGAAAAAACCGATATAAAGATTGGATAAATTTGAAGTTTGCCCTTCTGGATATATGCTATCAAGGAATTATTGTTAATTGTTTTTATCTATGATAATTGTATAATGGTTTTATTTTCTGAAAAATAAAATGGTTTATTTTCTTCATCACTTAGAGCAGTATTCTAAATTACTGTATTTACAGATGAAATTATATGACAACTAGAATTTACTTCAAAATAATTTGAGGGAATAATGGGTATAGTATAGATGAAATACAATTGGCCATGATTGAATCTGGGTCATAGGAACATGGCAGTTCATTATACTAGTATCTATACTTTTGTGTGCGTTTAAATTTCCCATAAAAATGGTTTTTAAAAAAATATATGGGAAATCTGGGAGAATATAGGAAGCAATAGGAAGACATACTGTTTTTTGAGGCAATCTAATAGAAATGTTTCTTAATTTTAAATTATGGAATAATTTAACCTATTATCTATGCTATAATTATTTGAGCTTTTTAAAATATATATATTTTTTATTTATTTCAGAGAAAGGGAGAGGGAGGGAGAGAATTTTTATTGATTTCAGAGAAGAAAGGAGAGGGCGAGAAAGATAGAAACATCAATGATGAGAGAGATTCACGGGTTGGCTACCTCCTGCACGTCCCCTACTGGGGATCGAACCCACAATCTGGGTATGTGCCCTTAACCAGAATCGAATCTGGGACCCTTAAGTCTGCAGGCCGATGCTGTATCCACTGAGCCAAACCGGCTAGGGCTATTTGAGCTTTTTAAAACTCAAAATCGTTTAAGTGTGTTTCTATATTTTTTGTTATATAATAAAGAGGTAATATTCTAGGGGAAAATGAAAAGAAAGGGTATCTTTAAAATTAACCTACAAACACTTACATAGAGCTTACCATGTACAGGTAGCCTTTTAAGTGCTTCACAATTACAATTCATTTAATTCTCCTAACAAACCTACAAGGGAGGTAATGTTATTATCTCCTACTTAACAGATGGGGAAATCAAAGCCTATAGAGATTAAATGACCTGAACAAGGTCACACAGCTGGTAAACAATAGAGTGGGCTTTGAATCCAGAAAGTCTAACTGCAGAAGCTCCTGATGATAAGAAATATGACTTGAAGAATCAAGCCTATAGAAATGATATTGTGAGGGCAGAAAAATGAATGCACTAGAATGTGTATTGCATAATTTTGTATTAAATATTGGAAACAGCCTACATGTCCCATCAATAGCAAAATGAACAAATCCATACAGAATCTAATTTGGGCAGATGTTAAAAAGAAGACTGACTTAGAAAAAGTATAAATTTTTTTAAAAAGTATTATTCATTGATAAGAAAGAGAGAGAGAAGCATCAATTTGTTGTTCCACTTATTTATTCATTCATTGGTTGATTCTTGTACGTGCCCCAACCAAGGATCAAACTAACAACTTTGGCGCATCAGGATGACGCTCCAACAAACTGAGCTACCTACCCTGCCAGGGCCAAAAAATTACAAATATTTTAAACTAAAATACAAAGTTGCAGAATCATAAACCCATTAAGATTTCTATATAGTTTGAGAAGTTGAAAAGAATATACATCAAACTATTAAGTGATTTTCTCTGAAAAGTAAATTAAAAGAAAGGGGATAAAAGAGGGTACTTTGTAATTTAAAAAAATTTAATGTAATACTCACAAACAGTGAGAAAATTCTGATAGGGAATAATAATTAATCAAAATATTACCTTTTGATAACATTTTATGGCCCTGTGGACAAAAGGGGCCACTTTCGAACCTGATAAGCTCAGGGAAGGCCTTCATGACAGTCTTGCAAACTCAAAGACCTAAAGTCACCACAAAGGATGATCTGAAATTAAACTTTAACTAAAAGCATTATGGTGGGTAGTCACCTCCTAGGCTGGTATCTTCACTGACAAGGTCAACCTTTACCTTAACTGAGTCTATCTGTCTTTTTGCACCTATGATAACATATCCTTGAAATGTCTGGGTAACTGCGTTGCTTTATCCCACCTCCTTAATCTAT